AGCCCTCTGCATGGCAGCCGGTGAATTAAGCTGCCTCTTCGATGAACTGACACTGTGTCACTAAAGCTCGATACATCCACGTAGAACTGGTTATCTTTGGATAGTTGCACCCAGCGTGTCGCCTACTCGGTTCACCTCGTCACTGCCCGGCCGCTTGCTGTGTAATGCCCGAGCGTGCTTGTTACCTCCTCGTGCCTGTTTCACCTTGGAGAGTGCATGGGTGCAGCCAGCAGCCTGATCATTCAGTGTGGCGAAGATGCTTGTTGCGAGCAACTTGTTGTGCACTCTACGTCTCCGCGATGCTGGGGCCGTCTTGCGCGACGATGCGCGATGCGCTTCGAATTGTCGCATGATAAAACATGCATAATAGGATATTTTCGTCACGAGTAAACTGGGGTGGAGCGCACACGAGCATGCGTCTTTTCTATGTTTTAGGGACGTGATCTGACTTTTTATTGCGATAGCAATTATATGGATGCTCTCAGCTAGCTTATGCCATCGTCGTCATGTCCCGTGTATCTACAGTTAAACCTTGTAATAACGAAATCGTTGGCCGTCGCGATTTGCTCGTTATAACCAATATTTCGTTATAGCCGCAGGGGCCATTTACAATATTATGCACTGTACTTGCCCAAAACAAACAACGGGTAAAATATCATCTCGCCTCACGGTAGTACGCAACTAAATAATCGCATTCTGCAAATAAAAAGGAAATGTCACGCACTTATTTTATTGCACTTCAAACAGACTTAGCTGCAAAGAAGTCTGTAATCGGACGCGTGGTGCATCTTCCTAGAGCGAATGATGGCTCGCTCAGCTGCGGCCGCAATGCTCAAACCATCTTCTCCGCCCTCGTGAGCGCCGAAGTAATGGGGCAGTATGTCCACTGCGTCTAACGCCCCCAACGTTGCCGGCACGGCAGTCTCCCATTGATCGAAAGAGTCATCATCGCTGGTCTCATCCAGATCGTCGACAGCGCGCACAATGTCGTCATCAAGGGGCTCTTCCGTTGCCACCACTTCCGAGTCCTCACTCACATATTCGCAGAACGACTCGCTGTTGGGCATGACACCTGCTTCACCAAGTGCTGTCCATGATGCCAAGACTTCGTCCGATGTGGCAAAACCGTCCAGCGCAGCAGGCTCGCCTAATGATGGCTCATCGCTGGCGTCTAGTGCGGCGGCAAATGAAGTGTGTCCAAAGCGATTTGTAATCGTGTTCGCCGTCACACTCACCCACGCCGCTCGAAGCATTTCGAGAGCAGCGTACAAGTCAACATCGGTGTCTCGCTTCAACCTCATATTGAGCAGAAGCCTGTCAATCATGTGCTTGCGGTAACCTGCCTTCAGCGACATAATCACGCCTTGGTCAAGCGGCTGTATTTTTGCTGTGCAGTTGGCAGGGAGGAACAGCAGCTCAATGTTATGGAGTGCGGCAGCGGTGCGGTGGGCGGTGCAGTTATCTAAAAGAAGGCACACCTTGCGGTTCGCCTTTGCCAGCTTCTCATCCCATTCCAAAAGCCATTTTGCAAAAATTTTCCTGGTCATCTAGGCTTTGCGATTGGCTGTGTACTTGACCGGGAGCTGCTTCTTCACTTTGCAGCAGTGGGGGGATGTACTTTTGCCAATTGTGAAAATTGGCAGCTTCTCAGAACCAGTCGTGTTGGCACAAAGTAGCGCAGTGATCCGCAGCTTACTTTGTTTGCCGCCATGGCACGACTCACCTCTGAGGGCTAAAGTCTTGTGCGGCAACATCTTGAAAAAGGGAGCAGTTTCGTCCGCAATAAAAATGTCCTCCACGCTATATTTTTCCAGCAGCCGCGCAATGTTATCTTTTGCGTACGTCGTAGTCCTCTGCTTCGTCGACAGATTGTGATTCACCCCGGACCACTCTCCCGACAATGTCATGGCACTTTTTGAAAGGTTGAAGCCAACCCGAACTTGCAACGAAGTTATCATAGCCCATGGCGCAGGCGAAGTCCCTTGCTTTTGTTTGTAGCGTGGCATCGCTCACCGGCAGATTCATGGCCCGCGTGTCCAAAAACCACTTAAAAACAATTCTTTTCACGCCACGTGCAACAGCGTCAATGATGGACTCCTGCTTGCTCAAGATCGTGGACAGTGTACTCTTCGACACGTCAAAGTCTTTTGCCACTTTTTTTTTCTTTGTTCTCGCCTCACCGGTTTTTAGCATAGCCACCTTCTGGTCTAGCGTTATACGCTTTCAATTTTCGCCTGCATTCATGTTACTGGAATACGAGCACAGCACAATAAAGATTGTACAGAAGTGAAAAAAAAAAAACGCGCGCAAAAACAACAAAGCTAACGTCAGCGAGTGACAACACTTGCAGTGGTTGCAGAAAGGCGTGCCGCGGCCATGCTTACTGAGGAGAAGTGGAGAAGTTGCGAGTGCGCTTGCAGGTACTGAGAGAGAGAGATTAGAGTGGAAAAGGTGCTCTTCACTGCAGCCTGTTAGAGAGCAAGACTCAGCGTCGTGAAGAAGGAGAGAAGAATTTAAAGAACACACAAAAGAAAGAAACGAAAAGGGCGAGACGTTCGCAGAGTTGTGGAGTCCTCGGCTGCCGGCAGTAGCCAAGCGGGGCACTTGCAATGCCTGTGCAACACCCTCTCCTCCAGCAACAGCATGCTCTTCGCGCGCCTCAGCTTTGCGCGCGTTGCTGGAGGATGCATGGCGGGAGTTAAACTGCTGCAGTTGTCACGTTGTGCACCATCTCAAATTTGCGTTTTGCACTGTCGTGATGTTGGCTCCAAATTTTATTTCCTAATAAGATTTGTTGGTTATATCCCATAACGAACTAATTTCACCTCGTTAAAATGAGGTTTTGAATACATTGGTTTCTATGGGGACATTCAAAGGGAATTACGATTTGCTTGTTACATCTATTATCTTATTATAACCCATCTCGCTATAACGCGGTTTAACTGTATACGTATCTATACAGTACAAAAGCTTCCAAAAAAAATAATTGAAGAAATTGTTTCTGGCATGCGGAATCGAACGGCGACAACGAGAGACCTCTCGCTCTGCAGCGTGCAGCGTTAACCATTGAGTTTCAGAAACGTATGTCTCAGCGCTCAAACGGCAAGCTATTTATATACACCACTTATCTTTGGCGGTACACTGATTTCGGGGCAAATATCAGCGTGATCTCAGCATTACCAGTGAGACGGCGCAAGGTGCGCCCCTCCGTTTGCCGCGACGCATACTCATGTACTTATTCTTCACGCATACTTTGCCCCGCGAGAGGTAGACGCCGTGCTTATCTCACAGTGTGATAGGAATGGTTGTGTTGTAGTTACCGGGCGCACGAAGGTCACTTTGCTGGCTGCGGAGTCCCCATTTGCGAAAAAAGCACCGCTTTTCAAACACAGCAAAGTAACAATTGTGACCTTTGTTAATTTGCGCTCGTCTGTACCTATGATTACGTTTCGTGTGTTGTTTTTCGTGTTTCGTGTACCACCTCTATCGGGCATGTGCCACAGGGAGCTTTAGTTTTTCGAATGTCCGCTAGATGGTGGTACTTGTATATAATCAATATATGATGAAAGGATGCGAGATGATGCTACTTGGAGTGTTCACTAGACTGACTGACATATAGACAGACGGACAGACACACGAACGGACAGATCGACCCATGGTTGGCCGCACGCACGGACAAACTAGCAGACACACGATATAACGCATGCAGGAACGGAAGCGAAAGCAAACAGATGGACATATAGACAGACAGACAGATGCACGGACGGACAGATCGACCCACAGATGGGTGAACGAACTGATAGATGCACGGACGGAAAAACGGAAGCACGGATGGACTGATGAGTGCTTCACCCCACTCATCATCATTCACTCCGTGGATATGCTGTGATTTTTTGTTTTAGCTACGCATGAAGTGTTGAGCTTGGAACGTTGTTAATTCACTCTTGTCCTGTGTGTGTTGTTATTGTGAATCATATGTGTGTGAGCACTGTAGTGCATATTTCGATCTGCTTGCCATTTCAATTTATTGCCATCACATTCATTGCTTTGCCCTTGCAGAGGAACTGCTACTTTTTTTTCTTTTTGCTTTGTATGCATCGAGTTTGTTCTAACTGTGCCTGAAGTGTTCTTTCTGTGTTAGAAGCTTTGAAAAATGTTCTCAATATGTGGAGGGAGTTTCAGGTGATAGCATAGGAAAATCCTACGTGCTGCAAAGTACGGTTGTTATAACTGATATTTGGAGGGGTTGTAAGTGGTTTGGATTAGTAGTAGCAGATCAGAGTACAAAAGTGCACGCGTGTATCGCAGGAAACCGATGGATGTCTCAGTCTGCTCTGCTGCTAAGAAAGTCTTTATGTGCTCTGGGTTATTTAGTAGTTTCAAATTGCTCAAACGTAATAGTTTTGAATTGACATTCTGTGTGAGAGAGCCAGCATTTGAGAGCTGGAATCGTGCTTTGACAAAAAAATAGGCTTTGTAGTGAGTACTTTGATTTAGGCAACATTCGATCTAAGCATTGCATTGAATCCATTGGCACATACATATCCCCAGCAGCTGCGTGTTAACAAGGTTTCATTGTAATTAGAAAAGACAGAGCAGGAGCAAATAGTATCAAAACTAATGATTATGCTTTAAAAAACTGATAATTCTTTTTATCCCTATTCGCGACACAGTAGATTGGTAAATAGAAGTCTCTTAAATGGAATTGCCACTTAAGAGGAACAGCTGCTTCTTGGTATAATTGGTTTCACATATCTTGTTCATATCTCTGTAAGTTTAACATATTTTTCGGGTCCCCGTTCAGTTCTGTTTAACGTGAATCTACATTTCTGAGGTTTTACTGCATTTTCAGACCAAGGTCATTTCACAGTGGAGACTTTTGCTGTAGCGATGTCTTTACCCTTTGTTCTGCGAAACAATTTACTCCCGTTAAGACCAAAAATGGTGGTCTTAACAGGATTTCTGCACGAACAACTTGCTTTTTTATTCAATCTTTGCAGAAAACCTGGAAATTTCCATGAGCCCCGAAGTCATCCCGCACCCAGACGTCGGCAAGTACTTCGAGCGCTTCTGCGGCACTCACTACCTCCCAAACGCCGAGAAGGAACACGAGTACCCCGAAGACGCAGAGGTGCGAGACAAGCTGCTGCTCCAGGCGTCACACAGCGGCAGCGACGAGGAAGAAGACGACGATGAAGAGTCTTGCAGCATTTAGAGCGCCCTGTCACCCGCCTCGGCGATTCGACCTCATTGACGATCCTAGGGAGGGGTGAGCTCAACGATAGACCAGGGTCTCCTCTTTGTCACATTTTTTCAGCTGCACTGCGTGACATGGACATAGCCTTGGGACGCAGACCTGCGGAGTTTATACAAAGATTGTACATTTCTCATCAGTTTATATAGGTTAATCCGTTAAATTGTTGAGTTAATTTTCTTCCTTTTTTTTTTTCCTTTACGTTTGATGTGATGGATTTCTGCGATGTACAGTATCCGTGAAAGTGTTTCACATTTGTGTCTCTGAAGGACTGCAAAACGATGATGTGTTCGTTTTATGCATGATTGAAACAGTCCCTGTTTTACCTTTGTCTCAAAACTATGGCGAGACAACATGAATGTTGCATGATCTGTATGGCCAGGATAACTGGCAATGGTGGCACAACGCAGTTCACCACTGAATGTGCTCTTCTTTTTCCAGTATTTTGGTATGTCGTTGTGTTCAAGGTGGCATGCAGTGTCGATACTCAGTCACGTTAAAGTGCTCTTCAGCACCTCTGTCAAGAAGTAGCACAATTCTGATTCTTAAAGAACCAGCACCTAAAGGCTGAAGTTCAGCATAGTAAAAGCTTGCATATTGGACACTTGTTGATTAGGAAGATTAGATGATTCTGATGTGCTCTCTGGTCCTGGCCAGTGTATGACTGGCTTGATACTTTTGATAATTTGGCTAATTCTGACAGTGTCTACAAGCCATTTGTCTTGGCAGTGTGATTACCGCTTCACGCTGTTTGCCTGACACAGAATAGATGAATGGTTAACACTCGCGCAAGATGTTAGAGACGGTTTGGCTAGTATGTTGTAAGTCAGTGCTAGCAGTTCGGAAGTATACAACAGCTTTCCTTCATAAGAAATATGTCTACCATGCGGTATGTGTATCTGTGACGCATATCTTAACACCGGGTTTCGGCAAGCCGACCAGTGAAGTGCTTCTGCCATTTGCTCATTCGGGAAGGTTTTGTGGGAAAGCTGATTTAGATGCCGGAAATACGAGCATGATTGAAGAGCTTGCACGGTAATTAGGTGACTTTGCAGGAACGAGGGGATGAATTAGGCAGTAGCGTTTTCCTGCCAGTGTCTAGTATGATCCACGTGTAGACCCTGCAGATGTACATCGCCGTTTACACAGGAAAGCTCGAGAAAAGTGCAATGTTACCTTGCTCACTTTTTGCATGTATAACGGAGGAAACACTGTACCTCCCATTGTCCCCTATATTAATGGTATATTGTGAACTCGGTTCCCAACATCTGTTAGCTCTCCCTACTCTCACGTCCTCTCACATTTACCTCAGAGACTACCGACAGTGTTATTGCACGTATAGGCTACTTTACGGACAAGTTTCGGTATCGCCACATTTGGATGTAGTCTTGCAGTTTTGTATTTTTCAACAACTAAACAAATAGTGCTACGCCAGTCATGTGTGCATAAAAGCGATTGGAAGGGGATACTATGTTTTATGACCTTATTCATTTTTATCATGGCTTACAAAAATAGTAGAACATTCGTTTAACAGCCAAAGGTCGTCGCATCAGCGTGTCCTACAGCAAAATCGTCTATAGAGTCAAACCTTGTTATAACGAAATCGCATCAGACACGAAAATGACATCGGTTACCTCAAAAATTAATTACAAAAGTATGTTTGCTACAAGAATATATTGCCCAGAATATTTTTTGTTCGCTTTGTTACAATGGGTAATTCATTGTAACTGGTAATCTGTTATATCTGTATTTCTTTGAGATACGACTGCCTCATGTAATTTACTGGTTGTGCTACAGTTATTCATACTCCTTATGCCTACACAGCATGTTTGCACGATTCAATGAGTCGTAGATCACGATTTAGTGTGTACTTGTTGCCGTAATGACAGCACTTGCTGTGTAGTAGAACTATAGTTTTGAGTCCAGTATGGACGCGAGTCTCTTCCCGATACACTGTGTTCACATATGTTTGCAATTGAGGTCAGGCTTCTTGTATGAAAGTCTCTGCCCTTTTTTTTAGTTGTGAATGTGCGTCTCAATTCTGCATTTTTAGAGGGCACAATTGCGACCAGGCCCCTGCACGCATATATGGCAGAATTTTATGACCTGAACCCGAGCTGGGTTGCAGTTTGTTTTGCCATCGGTTACTACTTTCGTAACTCAAGGTTACTCTGAGGAATTGAAATCTGTGATGTCTTGGAGCTGTTGTCAGCTTGTTTTCTGAGAAATGTTTGTTCACTTTTAGCATGTTTTTATAGCCCATACGCGGCTGTGCCCAGTGATCAATGCAACACTTGTCAACAGCTGCTGTTGGGAGAAAAAAAAATGTCATGTTGATGCTGTGAAAGCTTGTGTTATGTACATTATGTGCGCCATATACTGCTGTGTATAAGTTTATTTCGAATATAAGACACCTCGAAAGGCAAGAAAATGTTTGAGAAGTGGAGTCACAGTGAATCTAATTTTCAATCTGATAATGCCACAGGTATTATCACTATACTCAGTGTAACTATTAGACATCAACCTCCTTTGCTGATTTTACCGACAACACCATAGTTGTCACTGTCTTTGTTCTATTGTCGTGTAAATGAAGTGCTTTTAGCACTTTGCGTACCGTAGTATATTATACACCTTTAACTCAATCTTTATAGGTATCAATTTGTAAAGCTTATCGAAGCTTTCTCAGACAGATGCTTTCTTCTCTTCCTGACAATAGTATTGCCTTCCATGTGAGCGATGCTAATCCATGTCAAAAACACTTTCGTTGTTGAAAGCACCAGGACGTGCTTCCACACCAGTGCAAGCAGTCTTGCACGACTAAGTTATGCCATGGACGAGAGATGGCTATTCTATGTCATTGGCTAAAAGATTGTCTAGAGCCACAGACTCCTGAGCCAACTTTGAGTTGAAGCCATGTCAAATCTGGAACCCTGGCAAAATGTGAAGTCACTTTTATGTGCATGTTCACCATTGAATGTACAGACATGTACCACCATTGAATGATTTTTCGTGCGCAGGTCAGCACCATGTAATTAGGGAAGGTAATGCTTTTAACAAACTTAACAGAGGTCAGCTTATACACAGCAATATGGTGGCATTTTGTTTTTCAATCTGTTGACCCTTTATCTGTCATGACTCACAAAGTTATTGCATCGCCTTGTGAATACTGCGTGTGGCTTGTTTTGTGGGGGCCCCCTCTCTGCATTTTTTTTTCTAGTGTGTGTGCTGAAACGACAGGGCACCACCCTTGCATATTCCAGGTTTGTATGCAAAAATAAAGGCAGCAGTGACAACAGAATCGTAGCACATTTGGTTCACTGGTGTCTAGTCCGTAAACCTGCGTTGAAGCTCATCCTGTGCAACCTTGGATAGTAAACTACCAAACGTAAACACTATAAAGTCATCCCGTGCATGGAAACCAGTGACGTAGCTGGTTGTATGCCCGGATGTCAGGTATCCAAATACATCCATCTCTCCTGTCAAGTTATACTTCACACCTTTTGTGCTGGTGTGCCTGACAACTAGCGATGCGAAAGAAAAAACTCGCGCATCTTTTGTGGCTTGCCTTGTTACAAAACAATATGTGCCATCTTTCATGCCTTTCCTGTAGTGCTATGCATGCAATACCTCCTCCAGATTATAAAATTGTGTTCGTATAATCATGACGCAACATTCCTTCATCAGAAAGTAGTTGGTGCAAGAATTCTTTAAAAGAAAAGCACAGGCACTGTAGACAATTGTTGATTTTGGCAAGATACACCCCAAAGGAGGTGAACATAGGATGTAGCCCAAGTAAACATTCTGCAAGGCTAGTGAAGGCTGATTGAGTAATGTCGTGTTCCTATTTTTTTTTTTTTCTTCCTGTGCAGTACTTACCATTGCCAAGGTTATAATAACTACTGTCTTCTCGTGTTAAATCACTTTGCTCAGAAGTGCATAGTTCATGTATGGATACTCATACCTCGATGTAACGACCCCGAATAATATGAAATATCAATTACAGCTGAGTAAATTAAAAATAACCTTGCAATTATAGTCTCAGGAATAAGCCTTTATAACCAAATTCAGATATAACAAACGTACATCTGTATAATATGCAACTTTGTTATAATGAGGGTTGAGTGTATTTCATTGCAGAGGCATCGCCAAAAATTAGGGGGGAGAGGGCTGTCAGCCTTCATTCTCCCTCTCTTATTTGCTCCAGCGTTTTACAGAGTACACTGGGCTCGCTGGTGGGCTCAGTCAATGCAGACACAAGTCGAGGCTCGATTTCAAAAATTTATAATCCTCGTGTATTATTGCAAAGTAGAACAAATGTACATACAAAAATTACAGCATGTCAACTTGACACAGAACGTGGGTGTTCTTTCACACAAAAATAAATATGCACAGGTCAAGAGGAGTCTTGGAACGCATCAGTGGCATACAGTCATAAATGGCAACATTGATAACAAAGGCAGTGGTGTACCGCCTACGGTACAAGTGTGTATGCAAAGTGCAGTCGACTGTTAAAGGCAACACTATCCACTCTATTGAAATGTTCTTCATGCAATTCAGTAATTCTGTATGTTGTCCGTTTATGCGGAACAGAGAAATTTATACGGAATCGTAGTATATTCCGTAAAATTGTACAGAAACCATACAGACTTATGTTGAATTCCAATGGCGGAGTCGGAGCAAGTTTTTTCTGCTCCTTTCAGAGCAAGTGTGTTCCAATGACAGAGTGAGAGCGAGAGTCAAAAGTTCCAATGAGAGAGCCGGAGGGGATTCAGAGCGGGAGTCCCTCCGTGGAGCAGGAAAAACTGCTCCGCCGAAATCGGTGGAGTGGACCGGAACTCAGCGTGACGCATTTCCTTTAACACGTTTGCCTGCTTGGGGGCGCGGCGCGAGTTGTGTTGATAATGGCGGACGGCATGGACGGCTCGGCTATCTCGGCAAAGCGTGCGGCAATGCTTGTGCTACTCGATAGCGACAGCAGACATCGTGGACAATAGCTGTTGCATGCTTGGCCTGATATCCATTCCACACAGGTGAATAGCGCTGAACAAGCCAACGAACCATGCGGCGATGCTGGTAAACCACGTGGGAAACAGACAGCGGAAAAAACCATGCGCAAGGTATCCTGGGTATTGCGGCAGCTTCCGCCTTGCTCCAGCAGGGCGGGTTGTGTTCCGATGGCGGATTTGGAGGATTGGCTCTACGCCAGAGTCGAGTGCTCGCTCGCGAAGTCAGTCGGCTGCACCGACTCCGCCATTGGAATTCAACATCAGAGTGGCATGCAGAATGTTTCAATAGGGTAGTGTGCATTTCTCACATTACTTGCGCACTCCACCTACATGTGTGATAACTTATACCAGAGCACTACACCGGTGCGTAGTAACTAAATTCTGGTTCCACCAGCCCCCGAGTCATGTGGCGCACTTGCCAAAGAAAAAACAGTCACAAAGTCATTGCACTGATGTGTGTTCCCTTTAACAGTGGACTGCACTGTATGCTGATCCCATTAAATAAAACTTAGTGTAACAGCAGCATCCCGGAGCTTTGTACATTAGATTCCCATCCCGGTATTCATCAAGCACTGCAATAAGAAATGAATGCAACATAAATAAAGGCTGTGGGCATTGAAATCATAGCTGCCTAGACACTGTGAAATATTTAGCTTTAATCAGGAACCATTGAAGCTGGGTATGCATTAAAAAAAAATGCCCATCTTTGCAACTTCAAGCTTTCAATTGTGGTATTATGTACATGGATTTAGTAGCCGTATTGCATTGCCAATTGATGCTGCGGGGCCTTGTGGTGTGGCTCAGCAGGCTGTGAAACTAATAATTACCAAGTTGTCACAGCCAGCTGGTGCCAGTCAGATGTGAGGTAGCATTTCACGACAATGCAATGAAGCCACATTGAATGCTAAAATTAATATACCTTCTATATGTACAATATTTTAAGCAAGCAGGCATTGCTTTCACTGTCCATTGCTAGCTTCCTGGTTAGCTTATTCGGTAGAGCGACCGCCGTGAAAAAATATTGGTTCCCCAAAGCAGGACAAACTTTTCAGGAACTAAGCGGCTCTTTTGAATTTTTTTTTTTTGTAGCTTTGTGCCACAAACGGATGGTTGTTAATTTCTCTTTCTTAGCAAGCAAGTATTTATTGCTCACTAGTGTTAGTCAGCAATGTTGTTTGCAACTTAATATCCCATATGTTGCTACACTATTAGTCTTCATTCAGTAGCCAACACTGTCTCCCTCGTTTAGACAGGCACCTGTATGGTGAATGTACGCGTACTGCCTCTCTTGTAAAGTGATGTATGGTTAAGAATCGAGCCCATAAATAGCTAGTCTATGTACACAGTCAATTCGGTAAACATACATATCTACACAAGTAACATACAAGCACTGTGCGACTGCACATTAGCAGACAAGCTCGACATTGTTCGCAGTTACAGTGTTGCTTCACCTCTTCAGTAGCTGTTGGCTTCGAAAGTGGCGTGCAGGTTTTGCATTAACAAGTGTGGTTGAAATTGCACTTTGGATTACACGCGCACGCTCGTCAAGTGATGCCCACGCCAGCACTTTGGTAAGATGCACAGTTGAGGTTCGCAGTGACGTCTTTGTTACAGAGGTTGCCCTGTAAAGCTGCCATAATTGCTTGTGATAGTACGTGCCATTGGTACCAGCATACCAAGCTGTTCTTTGGTATCAAAACTTGCGTTTGTAGCTGCCTTGCAAGCCACAAAATTGGTTGGCTTGTTGTTGGTTGATTAGGCTTGTGGTTAAATATTTTTTGGAGGTGCATTCATTTTCTTTACACACATGCATATTGTTCACGTTTGGCAACCGCAGTGATGAGGATTTAAACCCATAAACTTGACCTTGGCTGCACAGCACCACTGAAATTGATCTACCGCAACAGGCTGTGAGCAAGAACATACCGAAAACATGAAATCCTATTAAGCTTCTGGTTACAGTTAAAAAAAAAAAAGTGTCCCAAAATTACCTCAAAAAAAAAACATTTTTCACTCAATTTGTAGAGCTTCATTTTTTTTCTGGATACGACCAGTACTATTCTTTAAACTCACTGGCACTCTTTTATTTCACTAATCACAAAATAAGAATACCTTGAAGGTGGCTTTTCCGCATGGCAATACAATGAAACATAGCTATAAGATGAAACATGGGACACAAACGGCCGAACATGGGCAAGTGTGGCCATTTACAATAATAGCAAAAGTTGGGCTAGTTGGTAGTTCATACTTGGGAAGTAAAAACAGCGCAGTTCAGTGCGGTGTGGTCTCTTCCTTCTGTCCTTGTCTATATTTTTGCGCTGTTTTTACTTCCCAGGTGTAACCATTTAGCGTCAAGAAGCACAAGTATGTGCAAGTACTATAATTTTTGTTGCTTCCCTTTGGGACAAATTGTTGTTAGTCGAGTAGAGCCACATTGCACATTTCGTTAACAAATCTCATGAAGACTATCCTCTTCAATGGTAGCAAGGAATTTGAAGCACCACTTTTTTTTTAGTTTTTTTTTTTCCTCATGTACAAGGGGAGGTCACATCTTACAGTACACTCGAGAACAAAGGCCACTTCTCTTTTTGGCTAGTAAAGGAATGCATCACATGTGCTTGAGATTTAGGTCTCGGAAAAACTGCGTGAGCTCGCAGGTTACACATTCACACTGTCAACATGACTACACTGTCGAAGGCACTTTCAAACACATCATTCTGCAAGCCACTGCTTCCTATGGTGCTGTAGAACTAACAGTGACAGTTGGAACAAACAGGAAAAAAAAGACTTCGAAAGCGAGTCCAGCTCGCTCAAAGTATTTAGGTGTATTCCAAGCTCTCGGAAGTCCGCATTTGTTTTTTGTTGCTTACTCTCCTGTCTTGGTGAAGCAGGAAGCGTCTTTTTTGATGTGGAAGAGAAAAAACACCGCCTTGGATTCAGGCTAATGTTCGTTGCAGCAAATTTCTCAGCATTGCCTCCACAAATGCTATGCACTGTGAAGCTGTTTCACCGTGGGCTTGCCTGAAGCTGCGAGTTCGTGAAACTGCAGACATCACACGCACTGCGAAGTAGCATCGGCACACGGAAGTGACTCCACTCCGCAACGTCCTATGTACTTTGATTCTCAGGCGACTCGCGAGCACCGCGTCGACAAGAACTGTCCATTTTCTTGCTGCTGTTGCAACAAGCGAGGCAGGGTTGAGCTCCGTCAAGGTAGTTACATTCACCCCACACATTCTCCATCGCTTTGATGAGGAACTCTTGCACATCCTTTCACCCGCAGGCCATGCACAGATGAAACCACCACTCTCGCTACACAGACGAGTTTGACAATGCCTTTAGGTTTCTAGTAAGTTGGCCCATGCTTCCACTTGCACCGCAGCAAAAAAGTTTCTCGAAGCGTCGTGGCGAGACGATAGGTTTGGTCGTTATCACAGGTTGGAACTAGTACGCCATCTCTCGAAGCTTGTGCGGTGGAGTACACCGGGCTGACTGTGCAAACAGTGGACCAGAAGATTTGAGATTCACCGGGCCCCGGCTGAGACGGCCAGGAACACGAGAATTGCCGTCCACGATACCGCTGTCAGCAATGCGACTTCCTCCGGAAATGCCGACGCTGCTTCCTGGGATTTCGTTCAAGCGTGGACGGCCTGAGGTGAGCAAAAACACGGGAAAACAAATTAAAATGTTGAGTTTAATGTGCCTTAACAACAATGCAATTAAGAGGCATGCCGTAGTGGGAGTAGCGCAGTTTAGTAATTTTCACAAAAAACTCCACCACCTTAAGGGATACCCTGGGGGGGACTGTGGTTTAGTAATTATGAACAACGTTCTTTACTTTCATCTCCCAAATGTGCCGCTGACATTGGTACTAATAAAACCCACGCCCTGAAGCTTATCAATGCAACACCTTACCCATTCGTTACCACAGCAAATAATACAAGAAAAAAAGGCGAGACAGTGAACTGTTTGCGTAAACGATTCAAGTCTAAGTTATCCGTAAACATCACAATGACCAAGCGTAATGTTCGAGCCTCTGACGCCTATTTGATTCATTAAGATATATTGGTGAATTTCTAACCCTTAAAATATAATAGTACAAGATCGCGAGATGTACAGAGAGTCTCCAGGTTAATATTTGACAGCGTAATGGTTTTTAACATGCACCGAAAGTTTGATAAAACTTTCTGCATTCCTCTCTTATAAAATTAGGACTGCTATAGCTGGCTATTGAATTGAACAGCTGAATACTCCTGTGGTACACAATTAACCTAATGCAGTTGACTTATTGCAACACCACTGATGTTGATGACCATGGAACCATGGATGACATGTCATTTAAAAAACATTTAGGAGGGTGCATTGCATAATGAAGGAAAAAAAAAAGAAAAAAAGCAGTATCTTGGGCATATGCATGCCAAGCTCTGCCAAGCAGTGTAGATGCTTAGAATCGCATGTATCTGATATCCTAGTTTTTTTGCAAGCCGTGACGTACAAAATATATATTGCGACGAATGTGCGGGATTTCATTTTAAAAGCAGCGAAACAAAGCCGGCTTAGAAGTATGCAGCACATGTGCCGAACTAACAACTGACAGGCTTATTTAAATCAGGAAAGATAAGTACAGAACATTTTTCTTGTTTCAATTAATATACTGCAACAAATTCTCGTGTTTTTGTCTCTCTTCTACTGCCTTCTCAATTGAATCATCCAGCTTTACTTGCTATTTTAATAAAGATACTTGAATATAACAGTAGAAACAATGGCAACAAACATGATGAGTATGCATTGAAATTGAGAGTCGTGCTGCCTGCGGTATGAAAGAAAGGAAAGAGGTCTCATTGCAATAAGCCTAACCTTGATATGATGAATTACTGAATATATTACTACAAAGCATTGTCAAGATTAAAAGGAAGACGATGCTTCCTGATACCTGCATGTGCTAGGCTCTGCCTTGTACTCCTGGCATTAGGTGCCTGTACGTACCTTCTAAATATATCTGGAATGCCTTTTTTTTCCCGTAACATTTTAAATGATTACAGCTAAGAGAAAGACTGGCAGGGTAACTAATGAGATCTGCAGTTTACTACCCTGCCGTAAATGCAATATCGCTTCTCTGCTGTTACACTGTAGTACAGGTTGAACCAAATCAAACCAACAGACAATGAAGCCAAGAAAAGCATTGGGGCCTTATTATAAGTCTTTAACTCTAGTAGGAGTGTTACACCATAAATGTAAAGAGTTTAGAGCGGAGGAAACACAACCCTCTGCAGGTGAGGTCTGAATGTTCATCCTTTGGATAACATGTCGGATGCTCCACCAATTGAGCTATGGTGACAGGCTGAGTTACAATGAAACTGGTAAGCATTTATGGCAAATATCGGACACTGAAAATGTTATTTCCACGTCAAATACAACTTTGCCCCGATAGGCACAACCTTATTTTACTACAAGAGCCTGTTTCATCTCTAAGACTACAATGAGTGAAATTTGTCGGCTATGAACAAGCCAAATAGGTTCTTACCAGTGACAGCCTTCCAGGTCTTTGTGCTGGGATGTTGGGTCTCGGCCCGGTACCAGTACGGGTCGTGGGTGTTGGGGTGCAGCGGAGGTACCAACGGGCGACCCCCGATCTTCCGCGGGGGTATTGAGGGCGCCCGGACAGGAGGTGGGCGAGGTGGAAGCACAGTGTTGCACGAGGCTAGAAGGAAATTAAAAACAAAGTTACATAAACGGAACACGCAAGTGATGAACGATTTTCCCCATGCTCATAAATTGCTAATTCACAATTCCAAAATCATCATGCTTGCCTCGACAGGATGCTTGGTAAGCGGAAAAACGCACTAAACAGAAAACGGTGGCAACACCACCTTGAGATTCCTACACCAAACACCATGGCGCCAATGATTTCGATAGTGTCTGCTAGGCTGTTCATAGTTCTTAGTAGGCCTCCTGATGGGGCCATAGATCTAATATACTTCAGAATGCAATGTCGATACTCTGATATCTACTCATGTCCGTAAGCTTTTCTCGGGCAACATGATATGCTCACCTTGCTTGGCTATCTTCATCCCGTAAAGGAGAGGATCTTCACCCCTCAAGCAGCTCTCGCCAGCCTCCTTGATGTAGGCCTCATCTCCACTTCGTATGATCTTCCCAGACTGTCAAAAAAGAAAAAAGCATGGCTTTAATTGAAGCTACATGATCAGATCACATGGAGTCACATGGTTTGTGCCACTTGTAAGAAAAAATAACGTGATAAATTCGTATACCAAATGAGGAAGATGCAGTTATAATATAATTAGGAGACTGTACAGCATTTGTGACATCATTGCAATACACTCAAACCTCATTCTAACAATGTTGGATCTTGCACAAAAGTAAGTGCATTATATCCAAAAATTTGTTATTAGGGTTAATTTCTAACACCGTTATAACTGGTGTTTCACTGTATCCGGTTTGTTATGTCGAGGTTTGAGGGTAGATATGTCTCAATATGATGCACTGCTGCTCTTAACGAAGCATACACAGAAAATAATGCATTGGTCATGTTTTGCTTTAACTAAACCTTAGGTAAGCTGATCTGTTTAACATTGTAAGTGTTGCGACTATTATACATATTTGGTATTATGGAAAATTTCATGTGACGGCACTGATGCACTAGTGACGCAGTGTAGATAGAGCGAGGAACATCCATAGTATATTACATATTCATTCACTTAAATTCACAGGTATGTTCCCGAAATGCTATGACCAACTAATTGAATTTAAGTTTTTGCTAAACCATGAGTATAAAGAGCCGGCACTGACATCGCAAAGAAATCTGCAGAAATGTTGCACAACTTTCAATGCCCTCATGAGGCGTACAAGACCAATGAGGTCTACTAGGCCTACTGTGAACAGAGACAAGTGCCTGTTTTCTTTATTGTCCCTTGTCCGTTTTTGCACTGACTGTTGAAGATCTGGTTTAAAAGTAGTGAAATACATGAACACATAGATGTAAAACGCGCGTAGCAATATGTACTCACGAAGCACTGGTATCCTGGAATGTCCCTACGCTGAGTGTACGTGTAGGTGACACCGTCTTCCTCCCAGCTGCCAAGGCAACGGTACTCACGTTCTGCAATCAGTGAGAGTAGAAGAAATTAGTGCCATGCGATTACAGCTGTATTACAGAAATATTCCCCCAAATGACTTTATTTTAGGAGCCAAGCTCTTCTTAGTCTAACCTTGTCCCACACCGGGCGTAACCGGCAGTATCTCCCGAACAGTATAATAGATGGCCCTGTCTCATAGAAGTACATACAAACTGCAGTTGAGTGAGGATATTCTAGATGGCGCTGTACCACGACTCTCCGATTGGCTGCTGCGCGTGCTATGCCTGGGTTCGTGGGGAACGAGTTCTCTCACAGTCTCCTGTATAATGAACTAGAATATTTAGTTAATATATAGTCTCCTAGATCGTCTCCGTACGTGTCGGATCGTTGTTAGGGCATAAACAAAGTGGAGCGGCATGTGCGGACAGCTGTGGCGGCTCGTGCTCGTCGTCAGACAGACAGGCATACAAACAGACAAACAGACGCACGCATAGACGGACGCTTCGCTCAACTCATCATCATTCCCTCCGTTGACATGCTGTGATTTTTTTTATATGCAGTGCTGCATCACTGTCTGTGCACGTGGTAGTTTCACTCAATATTCACTAACACCTTTTCACTAGAAGGAAAAAAAAACTGCCATCATGATGGGTTGTGTGCAGGAGTACAAATGCTGAAGTCGCAGCTTCGGCAGTATATTTTATTTTCTGGCAGGGGGGGGGGGGGGGGGGTCACGGCAATTTGCGCAGCTCAGAAGGACTATGGCGGCACCCAGGGAGCCGTTTTTGAAAATGTCTAAGAGAGAGATGGCATACGCCGCGTCTTACCTTCGTAGACGTGCGTCTTGTTGTCGCAGCTGCTGACCGAGTAGAACATGATGTCCGGGTTGTTGCAGTCCGAGGCCACCCGGGCGCACAGGCCCGTGGTGCCCGGGATGACTCCCGTGTAGTCGCCCGTGATGGGGCACGAGGCCAGCGACGACTGGCTCCCTGCACACACGAAGACGTCCATTTTAAACGGAGTTCACTCAGTCACGCGTACACGAACACTACGCTCGAGATGGTCGATTCAAAAGCCGAGCGGACATAGCTCAATCAGACTGTGTGCTATCATCTGGCAGAAAGAGATTGAAGAAACGTCAGGCTGAGGCAGCTCAAAAAGCGATCAAAAGGTTTTCGCGAATTGCCTGCACGATGCGACATAGTTTTAAGAGCGAAGCTGTGCTAAGTCGAGGCGGCGCCGTCTGCATCTGTCCGTAGTCACGCAGGGCCAGGTTTCCCGCCTCACCGTTATGAGCGCTCATGATGGTGATTATGATGATGATGACTACACACGTGATCTCGCTAGCCAATCTCATACACTCGCGTGTTTACATTTTCGCTGTCCGCTGGTTTTCACGGCGTCCATTTGGCCTAACATTTTGCGTGCGCCTCACCTATAATGGACCGGGTTGAGTCAACCTACGCAACGCACTACACTGCGATTGAGCTGACTTGACCCGCAAAGCTTTATGGCAGACCAGCTAGTTTTTACTGGTAACATATGTTGAACAGACTACAAAGGAGAGACCTGCGCTCTGTTCTTTCGCAGCTTGCGCAGCTTCTGACCACTGACTCTGCCTGCCCCGTCGCCTCCTCTCCATCTGACTCTGACCTTTTGAGCTCCCTAAGCCCTAGCTGACGGGCAGATTTCAAGCCGACTCAAAATGGAAATGACGCTACTGTTGGATTCATCTACATGTCTTATAGTGATGTTCTGCCCTTTACAGAAAGATAAGAGAGCAAGCCCACAAGTGTATGCAGCATTCAAAAGGCTTCTGTGGCAGTGCACTTACTTCCTTGCGTCACCCAGGTTGTGGTCGCGAATTGGTCGTCACTGCACAGCGCGTCGGAAGGGTGGGCACTGGGATTCAAACCTGCAACGAAGGAGCCAGTGTACCAACTGTCAGTGCTACTTCGCAAGCGGCTAATATTACAGCCTTGAGAAGTTAGTCGTTATCAGCGCAGTCACTTGTTAGTCGACTGCGTTTCGCCGTACGTGCCCCGCAAGTTATCTAAGCTTGTCACTCCGTAGCTTTCTCATATATAGGCAAACAACAGAAAAATTGCAACTGTATCACTCCACATGTTGGTCGTTAGAATGATTCTTCAACAACTACATAGCACTCGCACGAACGGCTCTGTAAGGGTGTTCACAAACTGATTGATATGTGAGGTTTAACGTCCCATAAGTGTTCGCAAACTCAACAGCCTCTTTCTAAATGATACACGCTTAATCTTTACTTTCTTTTCAAGCGGCAGAGCTTATAAGCGCAAAAAAAAAGAGATAATTGTTCTGCTGACTTATAGAGTATATATATATATATACTAACTCATCCCCTGATGAAGGGAGTACCCCTCCCAAAACTGTTGGGAAATAAATATATTTATCCTTGTTGACAACGCTCCCGTTGTGCCATATCCCATACCTTATATATATATATATATATATATATATATATATATATATATATATATATATATAATATATATATATATATATATATATATATATATATATATATATATAATATATATATATATATATATATATATATATATATATGTATATATATATAAATTCAGTAACCTTTATTTCAGACTGTCATGAGTATGAATACAGCCGAGAAATCTATTCATAATGACCGGTGCTTGAAAGCTCCAGCTATAGTATATATATATATATATATATATATATATATATATATATATATATATATATATATATATATATATATATATATATATAATGACACGGTGCTTGAAAGCTCCAGCTATAGTATATATATATATATATATATATATATATATATATATATATATACTATAGCTGGAGCTTTCAAGCACCGTGTCATAATGAATAGATTTCTCGGCTGTATTCATACTCATGACAGTCTGAAATAAAGGTTACTGAATTTGACACTTGAAGCGTCATCGGACTCGCTAAGAAATGGTTGAAGCAGGTAGTTTATCGGTGCATGGAATGGATCTTAGCGGCATGAACACCATAACCGTAACAGAGGGAGGATGGAGTTATGGGGGGTTCTGACACCCCCTTTAACTTTTAGGTTGATAATAAAGTATTTACACGCCTTTATATCGATCGAAGTTAGCCGTTGTATACGTAAACACTCCCCGAAAAAAATGCCTTGGTATGGCTCTAGTGCGCACCCTGTAGCGTCGAGGGTGCATGTGCTCTCATTCCTTCAGCAGTGTTGAAAGATGTGGCACAATAGGGAGTATTATTATGAACCCCGACATATTATTACTGTTTTTTTTTCGTGAATAGGCACAACCAAAATTTTACTATTTTAGAGTCGCAATTAGTTCGTTAATTGGGAAAACGGAGGAACGAAACTAAAGCGAACCGGCGCAGTTCGGTTCTAATCGGGACTGGAAATCGGCTTCGCCCGATACCGATGGCGACTGTATAAATATAACTATCGATCGCGGAACTCACCCAGTTGGAACTCCATGACGTTCAGCGATCTGCGCCGCATCCACAGGCAGTAGTAGAGCTCCTCGCCGCTGCGTTGGGAAGAAACCACACGGATCAGTCGACTCGTATCGCCATGTGCAATACATTCGCGCAATAAATCGTAGGGATCTTAGTGTTCCGATAAAGTCTACTTTGCAATGGAGTGAAAGTGTCAGCATAGCGGAGGAGATGGAGTCTGGCAATCCAAGTGAAAAATCAAGTATTCGGGGCGTATTTTCGTCACACAGCAGTAATCGTCATCTAGCTTGCTCGTTTTTTTTTTTTCTTCGCGAAAACCGGGCTGTCGCCACTTTCTTATCGGGAATGCTGTGTCACGCTTACAATGCGCACGCCGGAACCACTGTGATAACTCATGTAAAGTACGCGAGGTGGACTATAATCGTGTGTGAGAGAAATAACCCTCGAATACTTAATTTTTTCGTAGAGTGTAAAAGTCTACACCCTTTGGGGGGTACTTTTGTTTTCTCTTATAACCAAATATCGCTTAATACGAATTCCCAGCTCCCACGATGACTCAGTTATAATGAGCACTTGTTGGGAGCACTTTCGCCTCAAGTAGACTATTTTGCGGATGGGTTTGAGTGCCACCATAGTGGGTTGTTGACCTTTGTCCTTTGCATCTTCAACAACTAAACGAACAGTGTTACGATGGATGAATGTGCATGAAAGCGGGTGGATTGGTGCGTACGACGTTGCATGGCGTTATGCAAGAACAAGGAAACATCAGCTTTACAGCCTAAATGGCGGCGCCCGGATGTCTTAGGTAAAATAACACACTCGAGGCCTCGCACGAGCGGTGGCGCATGCTATATACTACACTCACCACTGTGTGACGCCGTAGACGAGCAGCCGGTCGTTGGGCGTGCTGTTCTGCCGTGTGACGCAGCGCGCCGTGAGCGTGACGAATCGTTCGGTGTCTCGAAACACCAGCGTCCCAGCCTCGACGCGCACCCGCTCCCACTGGCCCTGGCTCCACTCGGGAAAGCGGCACGTGGCCGACTCCACCTCGCCCGGGAGGCTACGCTCGGGCACTGCGTCACGCGGTCAAGAAAGGAGGTCAGGTGGTCCCACACATCACCTTGGACCGGCCACAACAGGTATACGCACGCGGGCGGGGCATTGTCATTCGCGATTGGCACAAGTCTTACAAGTCTCGTCAAACGCGGAAACTGACCAGCGTCCAGCGTAGGCGTAAGTGATGTCAAAAATGGTCACGTTACGACATCATCATGCCGTCACAGATTGCCAAAATGTGTGGCGTTACAGTGACGTCGCGTGACGTGATGACGTCATCGCACGATATCGTAGCTTAGTAAACGGTGAGCCGACCATAAAAGCCCTGTAAAACCAGTTGAGGTGCCTCCAATCCTGGAGGCAATGCAGGACCGCATTAGGTGCAGAAAGCGAACATAGATTTCGCCTTGCAGTCATATAATGTGAGTGCATACGCGACCGTACGAGTTTTTATACTTTCAAAAGATGAACGCTAGCTAAACACTAAAGGTACAATGGGACGTTTTTATTGGTCCTGGTGGTGTGGCCGATTGACCATTACGGGCCCAGGCTATGACGCATCCGAAATAAAGATAACACACACTCATACAATAAACGACAACACACAATCAGGTGGGTACTTTTTCTTTCGCCAGTGAGAACCGACAAAGCATTGTTTCACCAGGCTACACCAGTGAACGGGTATATGTTCAATGTAGTACCTGTCTACCGGTACAGCTGACGCTGGTAGCGAAAGCTCGTTGTACTTCGCCTAATGGTAGTTATGCACACGTTTTCTTAGAAGTTGCACCAAAAATTCTTGTTGAAGAGGCTTAAAATACCGACACGTTCTCGATTACGGCAGCTGCCGAAAATTTACACTAGTGGTGAAACGGTGTAAACACCTGTTTAATCTGTACAATAGTATATTCGTATTGGTCTGTCATGTCTGTCATGGTTTTTTGAGGTGTAGAGGAACATTATCTCTCGTACAATACAGAACGTGGAGTACGAGATAAAAATGCTCTTAGCTTTGGTGAAGGCTATAACATAGACACTGCTTATAACACTGCTTATAACGTCGATTATAACATCAGCCTCAGCTGACGCGGCGAACGACAGGCAATTAACTCACAATAACGAGTCTGCAAATTCATGCGACTTACAGTTAGTCAATAATTAAATCAGTAAAACATTTTATCTCTATCCCACAGAGGAAAAAAAAAACAGCAGCGCCTGAACTGCTCCTTTATTCTCTATAATTTAAGTCTTCTGCTTCACGCTTACGCTATTATGACTCCCTTAGATGTTAACCAACTCGCTCAACACACAGTTCTACACGACAAAGCGACGTACGTTTCCAGCGTGAAATTAGTGAGTTCAGCTACGATTTCCCACAGGTGGTTCTGAATGCAGGCCTCACCTGGTGTGAGAACGAGCGACTCGTAGCCGCTCGTGGCTGACGTCAGCTGCGTGGCGCAGGTCGAATCGGAAGAGAGGGCCACGTAGACGCGGCCTGTTCCCGGTTCCTCGCGGTACAGCTGCGCAGGAGAAGAAAAAAAAAATAAATATATTTTTTCATGAAATGAGCAGTGTTATGGCTACGCATGCTTCTTAAAAATGGCAACCGAAGACCCTGCATGTTACGTTCAAGGGACTCAGAATGGTACAAACGCAAAACACACAACATAAAATCGCTCGTCTCGTTTACCTCTTCCTGTGTATCCTGAATGTTTTGCGCTCGGAAGTACGACCACAGAGGAGGAGGACAAATCTTTATTGAGTGCGATCACGGAGCATTACAAACGCGCCCAAGTACATGTTCTAAACCTCATTCAGAAGGCTGCTAACTTCTCGTTTTCACTCCCGGAACGTCAGGTACCGACGGCAGGCCGCTGTGAGAAGCTGATAATCGCACATCAATTTGGTTTTTGAGTCCATGGTGGATTTTGTTTTCTTACGGACTCAACCAAGGGCGAGGGGGTTGCCCCCTCTTCCTATTGGAGAAGTATGCGCATGGATATATGAGAGGGGTGCCGGTATGCATCTATGTATACATATACATTCTGTGCACATGCAGTCGAGGCGCGGTGCAATACGCGGGTTGAACCGTTCTATAAGCATTGCTCAGGACGTACGACATATAATCAAAGGCGCATCCGCCTCCGCACCAGCCTCGGAAGAGGTCAGCAAAACGGAACCGAAACCATTCCTCGCAGGTCGACCCCCGTAACTGAGGTTTAGCTTCAACGCGCCACGCCGCCACCTTGCCCGGCTGAGCGTATACGGCGCGGCCCGCCACTTTCGCCTGACAGAAATGACAGGGCGCGAAGAAAGTAAGAAAGGAAGATGGACGTCGTGGCCCCTTTTGCAGCCCGCCGGCAGCATCAAATACGCCGGCCACGCCACAAACCTTACGTGGGCGTACTCTGTTTGAGCTAGCTGTTAAAGCCATCGCCCGTAAGTGGCACGCACCCACTGTACCTTCGCCTATAGTTCGTTTGTTTCGTCGTCGTCGTCTGCTACTCCACCCACATTTCTTCCTGTTCCCTGTCGTCTGCTGCTGCGGTGACGAGGTGGAAAGCCGCAACTAAGAATTAAGGTTAGGCCTATAGCGCACAGCGAGAAAGTTCTTTGTTTGTGTGATTGTTCGAGGGTTCGCGCTGAACAAAGCGCGTCCCGTATTATATATCTTCCAGAGAAGTCCAGCAGTGACGTTAGTGTTAGTATTTCATTGTTTCCATGCCGAAGCGGTTTTTTTTTTCTTTTTTAATCCGGGCGCAGCCAGGCCTGCTCGTCCGGGCAGCTTTGCATCCTTCAAACGACAGATAAGGGAGAGAAAGGGCGCATGCGTTTCGTAACTCGCATTATAAAAGCGGCTACAAAATAAGCAAAACAAAAGAAACTCAGCTTCGCGAAGGACGTCCCCGGGCAGAGCTGCAGCTAAGCAAGACAAATAATAAAGCCCAGTGCGCGTAAAGGAGAACGCGTTGTTGCGCGATGGTGTATGCATATAAGCGAAAGCGTCCTTCGCTATCTCTTTTTTCCCTCGGCCGTGAATCGTCTGCTATCCGAACGAGCCCGGTCGTCTGCTAGGCCGGCTTCCCTTGACGCCCTCGGCCCGGGATCGTGGGAGAATGGCCTCGCACGCAGCTCGAGAAAGACCGGCCTGCCTTCCTTCCTGCCAAACAAAACGCGCTATAGGGCCGTCAAGGCATCATCGCCTGTGCGGCACCGCCGTACACCGTTCAGATGGCATATCCCAAGCGGCGGCCTGTCTTTGAGAGCCCGCTCTGTGTGTTTGTGTATATAAACTGTGTCTAAGCGTAAGACACACAACGCCCCCATCGAGGAACGGTAAATAAGCGCTTCGTCTGTTCCGCGAACCGCCATCTCCTTCTCTAACACGCCCACGAAGTTTCGCGTCTGCTGCGCTTTGCTTTTTTTTTTTTTTTTGCGTGTGCGAGTTGCGTGAAAGTTGAAGCCTTTCACTCCCACTTAAGAACACTTGACGCCGAGCTGTACAACGGCGCGTGCCTATTGGTTGGCGGTCACGTGATAGTGTGGATTTCTTTTGGGAGGGCTTTGGAATGTATCGGTGTCGTGTGTCGAGATAAAATCCTGCTTTTAGCTGACGCCCGCTTCGCATCTGGCGCCTTGTCATCGACTCACTTCTCAATGCGGATGTGTGCGTATGTGAGTAGTGTATGCACGTGCGTATATACTTATGTATGGCTTGCTGCGTTTCGTCGGTAGTCAAGCCCAATACCCATAGTGGCGCCCAACGTGGGGCATAGTACTGACCCTCCCGCTGCTAGCAATTACGTAAATAAATTATTATTTGTTGCAGCCTTGAAGATTCCGTCGTTCTCGCTTCGACTACGGACGGGACGCAGCAAGCTCAATACCTACAGTTGGCCACACGCTGGGCGCCAACTGTGGAGCCCACGTGTGCGAGGCGGGCATAGCGAAATCCAGGATCCGGGGCTTGCTGCTATCGGTCAGAGCGAGTGGTCCGTCAAGGGGCGTAGCCAGGGATTGGCACACCGGACACGTGCCCCCTTCCCGAAATTTTTCACGCCATAGCATAGACAGCGAAAAATGGCCATTTTAAGAAAATGCCCCCTCCGAAATCAAGGTAGGGACCATAAAAATCGTCCCACTTGCGCACTCGACAATGTCCTTCGAAGGCGGAGTCAGGACTGCAAACTACCTGCGGCCAACATATTCTCTCGACGTCCGTCGTACACATACGCGGTCGGTGGACAGTAGAGAGAAGACGCGTGCAATATGTTGCAGCGAAAATATAAAATACGTGCATACGTACCGCTTCACCACGCGGCAGTGAGCCGATCGTGGCATATTTTCAAGTTATCAGAGAGGTTTCGGTTGTTCGTGCGAGAGCGCATCACATCCCAACAGCCTGCTCTCGACTTCCCTTCATGGGGAGAGGGGTGTGTGGAGGTTAACGTTCATCGCAACGACCCCCCCCCCCCCACCTCTCATTAAAAGCATGTGACTAGAGTCCCCCTTATTCCCTCTTCATAGGCGCACTTATGCACGCCCTCTTTAACTTGAAGATACCTTTTTGGCATTTATTATGCTTGAGCGAAAAAAAAATGAAGTATGGGCGTCAAGCCACGGCGGAAGTTATCGTATTCGGAACTGATATCACGACCGGGCAAGCGAGGGGTAGGCGATGTGCGCTCTCGAAAACAGCCAAACCTTTTCGCGATAACTCGAGCAGATGTCACGATCGGCGCCACCGTAAACCCTTATACGGTGCGCTTGGCCGCGCGCCCCCGCGGTGTGGCTCATAACTGACGGCGATAGCTGGAGATAGTACACTTCCACACCACACGGGACGCACGGAACAGGTGTACCGTAAAACGTGTCGAGCAAACCATCATTCCTGCACGAAACCTTTCGCGATTATGCGAAAGCAGCCGCAAATGTACTCTCACCGACTTTCGCGTGCCGCCCTTTCCTTAAGCGTGTAATAAATCATACCGTACGCACATCTCGCTGATACTATAAAACGAAGCCCCTCAAAACCTTGCTTCTTAGCCCACAAAGTCATCGTGAGTCATGTTTCCCGTTCAAGCGTAACTTCCACCCCTCTACGTCATTCATGCGTATATATGTGGTCATTTTATGTTGTATAATCATCACACTCCACAACTGGAGAAGCAAGCCAGGCAAACATTTATCATCAAAGGTTACCGCTATCATCTATACCTAAGTGCAACGAGAATTCAAAATCTAGGCAGCGGATGACGAAGGGGAACTGAGCGAACCACCGTTAAGAATAGAGGGTAACCGCTCCCGAAAAGTAGATACTAAATTTCCCTAGATTAGTGCTTTCTTCAAGAAACAGGTACTTCGTCAGTTGCGTCATCATTTCATGGGTTTCGGACAGTCAGTCAGCGGGAGTCAACAGATGAGGTGGTCGTGTGGTACTTCGCTCAGTTTTTTTTCTTCTTCTTCTTATCGGGCCCTAATGACGTGTTTTAAATCGGGGATAACCGCACGTCAAGCACGACCTGTCAGTCGAGCAGTGTCACATCGTGTCACCGGCAGCAGTTGTGGTGGCATCGAAAAGCGTCGCTTCCTGCCATTTCGTTGCTCGGGCGCGATCGCCCGCTCTAGACATGCTTTCATCTTCGTGAGTGTGTGTTATTTCGACTCAAACCTGTAGAGCTCGTGTTTCGTGATACGCTTGGCGACACGAAGTGGACGACGTCGTTGTGCTGCGCGCAACGGGGATTCAACTGAGGTTTCTTTGGTTGCATGCGGTCGAAGCGAAAAGCCGAGGCTCGTCCGTCTGCTCCGGGGTCAGGAAGCCGCCATCTTTCGACGGGTGAGCTATGCTTTGCTCTTTGTACTTGGGTCATGCACTACGATTCTCGGCCTCGAAAGTCGCGTTTCCTTGTGGTTGTGTGCTTTAAGCACCAGGCAGAATTGCTTTCGCCTCCGCGATTCGTTTCGTTATCGCTTGAAAGGCGATAATGAATATTTTAATGAATGCCGTGTGAGTCGTGGTTTGGGGAGTGCGGGTCTTTGGGATTGCGCTCGCTTCGCGTTTTCACGTGACGCCGTTGACGTAGTGTGTTGCGCACAGTCGTGTAGGTTCCCGCGATCGTTTCTTGTCGACGACATTATCTGTCGCGGTTTGAAGGAGAAATCCCAGCCGAAAAAAAAAAAAAAACAGTATAGAAAACCGCGTTAGCAGGGCGATGTGCCGCCGCTTCTTGTCGCCCGTTTTTCCCGCCTGAATTTGCAGCCAGATTGTCGCACCGTGATTTCCGCCATATTTTTTTTTTTTGAAGGGAGGGGGGGGGGGGTGCTGTTGTTTCTCGATCTTTACTCACTTATTCGAGCGCATATTTTAAGGCCTACTCACTCGATCAAGCCAGATTTCTGCTGCTCTGTAAGAAATTTACGGCGATGGATCTCGATTTATTTAACTGCGCGGAGTAAATTTTTCACGATCATCCTTTTGTTCTAATTTTTTTTTGCTTTTAGTGCCTCTAGCAAGTTC